GTCTAACTTAGAAAAAAGTAGCATATACAATACAATATATACAATTTTATATTTATTGATTACAGTCCTTTCATATACATAATTTAACATTTCAAAGTCAAAACTAGACGCAAATTAAATTTGGAGTCTGGATTAGATTGCGAAGAATCAATTAAAATGAAATGAAACTGATAATCGAGTTGATGTTATTTTCAGAAATCTAGTTTGCCAGATTGGGTTTTTGTTGTAGTGATCAATGAATCGGCTTGACCTTAAACTTTATTCCTAATATTCAAATTAGATATAGTTTTGCTATTATAATAAATAATTAACTGCGCTCGATATATCTATAATATATTTAGATTTAGTTTTTTTTATATGATTGTGTGATGAAATATCTAATTCTAAGGATTATCAAGGTTTATCGAACAACAGCAGTTAGAGAGATTTGTGTAGCTTGAAAAAATGTGTTTTTTTCTTTTCGTCTTTGATAATAATATTAGATATTTAATATATTGATTTATTATTTGCATAGTTGAAAAATCAGATTTCCTATATAATTGAGTTTCTCTCATCGTACGAATTATAGCTTAACTGAACTAGGGTCTATATACTTCAAATCAAATCTAAACAAAATGAAGTACCCAAAGGTATTCGCAGTTCTGAGGATAAACAACTCATATATCTCGATATTTATTATATAATACGACATATGTATATTTATAAAATATACTATACTATGCATATAATATTTATATAATTCCACTATTCAGACTCTTTGCCTTTCCTCTCGACCCGTTTTGATTTTGATCAACTCTCCAGCAATATTCAGCATAATTTAAACTTAGTTTCTGTTCGAGAAGCGAGCTCCCTGCATGGCGTCAGTTGATGAGCTGTTGGCAGTGCCTTAATCAGATGCCAGTTGTGGCAAGAGTAAGAGCGTACGAAGGGCATCTCCGCTCAACTCCGAGACAATGATGTCCCATAGACGCAGGCACGCATACACAAGTAGTTGGCCGGCTGGGCTAGGAGCTGGTCGGCTGTTCGGCTGGAGGAACGGCGATAATGATAAATACAATATAATGACACGGCAATTGTTGACAACATCAAGTGCTGGACAGGGCGAAAAGTCGCCAGCCAGTCAGCCAATCAGTCCGTCAGTCGGTCAGTTCGTCAGCTCGTCAGTCTGCCAAGCTCATGAATGAAAGAGGTCCAGAGCGGGGCGTCAGAGTGCGCTGGGATGCGGCGAGCTGTCTGACTGGCTGGCTGCCTCAGCCTCAGGCTCAGACTCTGCCTCTGTCTAAAGGGCCGATACTCGAACGGCACAATGGCAGCTCTCTACACACACACACACACACACACGCACACACACATACACATGGACAGCGAGGGCATAGAGAGGCGGCTCAAGTGGGCACTCGTCGTCGTCGGCTGGCTGTTGCGAGCGAGTGCGAGCGAGATGGCAGCCCTACACACGTATAGGCTGGCCTTGTTTGGCGCAAGGATGCGCGCTCAACAACAAATGGTGGTGGTTGTTGTTGCTGCTGCCGCCGCCTCTATTGCTGGTGGTTGAATGAGCCACTCACATAGTTGCTGCTGCCGCTGCTGCTGCTGCTGCTGCTGCTGCTGCTGCCGCTGCTGCCGACGTAGTATCCTTGTTGAAAAGGACATGAGAAGCCACTTAGTAAAAATGCGACGAACGCGCCGCGACTAAACAACAGCCAGAAGAGAGACTCTCTATGTGTGCGAGTGTGTGTGTGTGTGTCTGTGTGAGGCTATATACCCAATGGTGGATGGATGCACCATATACAAAGCATACGTACGTACGTGTGTGTGTTCGTGTCTGTCTCACTGACTATATGTGTGTGTGTGTGTGTGTGTAGTTTTTGGTACTTTTGCGCCGTTGGCTGCTTGGACTCGTGTCGAGTTCTTGATGTCTCGTTAGTTGTTGATGACACTTCAGTTTGGAATGTTTAGAGTGCGGCTGACAACGCAAACCGAACTCGAGTCGACAACAAGATCGAAATCAGTCTGACTAGGCAGCTCGAGCTGAATCTCCAACCGAAATCGCATCTAATCAAAGCCAAAATCAAAACTCTAAATGTTTCATGCAAATGCAAACTAAATCGAAATTCGAATCGAGATCGAAACCGGAATCGAAATCGAAATCGCAGTGAATCCGCCTTGCCACTTATTATGATAACGTGCGGTGCTCGCAAAGCTCTGGCCAAGTGTTGAGATTGTGTTTGGCTGTACTAGACAATCCCTTGGGGATTTATCTACGCATTTCGTTTTCATATTTTTTTTTGCACGTGTGACACTTGTGAATTTGTACGGCCGCAAAGTGGCGGAGAAACGCAAAGGTACGCCGTCGCCGACGCCGCCGCCGGCGCAGCAGCGGCGCAAATCGGGCAACGCAACGCCGCCAACGGCCGCGCCACCCGCACCACCGGCGCCCCCAACGACGCCCACAACGGCCACCGACATGACCACGTCGCACAGCCAGCCGGCCAACGTGGAGCGGACGCCCGCCAAGCAGCACAAGGAGCGCACCGCGGAGACGACCAACAGCAGCGGCAACAGCAGCGGCCTGGGCAGCGCCGGCAGCCTGCCCGCCTCGCCGCAGAGCGCGGCGACCGTTAGCCCCGGCACGCCCACAACGCCCAAGCGGCCGCTGCGCACGTCGACGCCCTCGCTGGAGCGGGCGGCGAAGATCATCAGCAGCACCGCCAGCACCACGGTGCCCACGACGACGACGCCAACGGGCGGCGCCACTCTGACGGCCGCCGAGCACTTGCGCATTCCAACGGGCGCGGCGGCCTTCAGCGGCTTCCCCGGGCTGCACAGCATGAGCAGCCTGATGGTGCCCTCGTCGGCGGCGGTGGCAGCGGCTGCCGCAGCGCCCTTCCTGCCCTGGTCGCCCATTCTCCTGCCGCCCTGGAGCCACGCCCTGCTGCCCGCTGCCTTCTATCCGGCGGCGCTGCGCAACGCTTTGCCTGGGTAAGCCGAACTGACGAGCGGAAGAGATCTTGCTTGACTAGCACGCTCTCTTTCTCTTTATCCTTCTCCTTCTATTGCTGTCTCTTTCGCGCTGAGCTTTTCATGAAAGCTCAATCACTTCACTATTGGACTTTTAAGCATGCGTTGGGTATGGAATTCACTTGAGATTATTTGAGTCAAGTCATAGGAGTTTCCTCTTTCTCTTCCTTCTCTATTGCTATCTCTTTTACTCTGAGCTTTGCTCTTGGTAGTTGCTGAATTGAGGAGTTCGATCAGTTGACTAAAAGGGACTTTTAAGCCTACATCTGCTTGACTGTTGTTGATCTTAGTTCCAGGAATCTTTCAATCAGAGCTTTGCGCGCTTGAGTTGCTGAATTGAAGGTGTCGAGCCGAGCATCTATGGTATATGGGATCTACTTTACTCTACTTAACTGTTTTTGGTCAACTTGTAATAACTTTTTACTTTGGTTAACTTTAAGCTGTACTTAAGCCTTAAGCTCAAGCCTATATAATGTCATTTGGGCAGAGAACCAGAAAAACTCTTAGCTTCTCTAAGATATCTACATATTCCATCTCTCTCTATATATACATCCACCTACATTTGCATATCAAGCCTCCATTTATAATATAATTCGCATCTAGACTAAATATCAACTCATTATAGTAGGATCGATTGAGCAATCCATTGAACGATCTATTGAACGATCCATTGAACGATCTATTGAACAATCCATTGAACGATCTCTTCAAAAACTTGGCTTCAAGTGAATTGCAACTGAGATTAAGTAATTTGAATATATTTCTGATATTCTAGATTCCTTACAGTCTCATAGTCTATAGCCCCTGTCTGTGTTATTTTATGCCCCCTGTTCGGCTAATGAACTGCGCCCACACTAATCCCGCTCGGCCGTAACGAGCTTTGCCGGCAATCCAATCAAGTCACTAACTGCCAAACATTGAACAAATCTGTGGGTTAGGGCACTTGCCCGCTGGCTAGCAAATTACCCAAATCCTGAAGCGAACCGCTTCGAGCTGACCACGTAATTCCCCCCGAGCCGATCCGCAGATTTGCTGGGCTGGTGCATGCTCAACTGTGCTCAAGGCCCAGGGCCGAGCGCTGCTCAAGTGCTTGGCCTGTTCGGGCTGGCTTAGAAATTCCCATAGGTGAGTTGCAGGGAAACCCCAACCGGGCAACATGTGTGCAACAGACAACGCGGCAAATGACGACGACGATGACGACGGCAGCGGCGTCACACTGTCTGGCCGAAGGTTGGGACGACTGCCGAAGGGAATTCCGCTCAGACATGCGGGGAATGCCCCGCTGATGATGGTCCTGATGGACCTGAGCGCGTGGGAATTTCGCGCGCACATTTGGGAAAATTCGGCTGTGGAAAAACCGGAAGCAAGAGCGCTTTTTACTTGCGCCAACATGTGGCCGGCAAATAGTTAGCCCGGCCGGGCTGGCCTAGCCTGCAGGTTGAGGTTCAGGTGAACCCGATGCCAGGTAGCAGCAGCAACGGCAGCAGCAGCATCGGCAGAGGATTTGCGTTTAATTGTTGATGGTATTAGTGGAAAATCAAATTTGCATTAGCCCTGGCTTAGCCTCGAACTAAGACGCTGACTGAAAACTGGGCCTGTGGCCGATCCAAGTCCGAGTGCGAGCCCAGACTCGCTCGGTGCTAGGTGTCAATAATCCAGCGATTTGGCTGCACTTAATCAAAGTTAATTCCCAGCAAGTGTGAAAATTTGAGCGACGAGTCGCAGCTCAGTGCAATTTCGCTCGCCCTGGCCCTGGCCCTGGCCCTGGCCGAAGTCAGTGTGCGGCAGGTAGAGGCCGTGCGCACAGGTAGATCCCTAGGTAGTGTGACGAACTGTGACCCGACCAATTTGTTGGCCATTGTGTTTATCTTCCTGTCCGTTCATTCATGAGCAGTGAAAGACACCGGATGTCGGATGTGGATGTGGCGGCAAGTGTTGAATCGACAATCGAGACTGTATTGCTCTTGTTCTCTCCTTTGCAGCCTCTTCGATGCCAAGGTGCCGTCGTCGCAGCGCTCCGGCTTTCATATATCCGACATACTCAATCTGGATGGCTCTGAGCTGAAGAGTGCCGCAGCAGCGGCGGCAGCGGCCGCGCACCACAGCACCCACAGCCACAGTCACAGTCATAGCACCCACAGCGGCGAACTGGGCGCTGAGCCGAGCAATGGGCATGGCCATCCGACGCCCACGGCTCTGTCGCCCACGCCCAACTCAGCGCTGCCACCGGCGCCGCCCAGCAACCCGGATGAGCATGTGACGCCCGCAGCGCACGGCGATCACCAGACCACGGATCACTCGGCCCAGCACCACCTCCAACAGCAACAGCAGCAGCAGCAGCACCACCAGCACCTCCAGCACCACCAGCAGCAGCAGCAGCTCCACCATCCGCATCTGCACCATCAGCCGCATCATCCAGTCGCCCCGCTGCCCTTGTCGCACCACCAGAGCGCGGGCGGCGCCCAGCCGCCCATGCCCCACATGGGCGCCCACGCCAACGCCGCCTCCGCCCAGGCCGCTGCCCATCTGCTGGCCGCCGGCCAGTATCTGCCAAAGAACTTCGCCAGCAGCTTCGACGAGATGTCCTCGTACCACCACATGGCCCAGACAATGCTCACCCACTCGGGGCGCAGTGCGTGGATCAAGGAGAACGAGCTATATGGTAAGTCTTTAAATAATCCAAATAGAATATATTTTAGACTAGGATTAAATGCAGACATTTACTTTGAGTATTGAGGAAGTAAACTCCTTGACTAAAGTCCAGCTATATATTTTATATCGTATTATAAAATATATTTTTGTAATTTCTCTCTCTCTTATTCCGTTGAGCTCACTGAAAATGTTAGCTAATGGATTCTGTAAAACATCTTGTGAGGGTTAGAAGCAGAGTTGATCTGATATATAGTTATATTTAGAGTCTCTTATCGGATCTTATCGAGTGCTGACATCCATTACGTCTATTATTTTATTTTCCCAGTCGAACAGCCCCATTTAAAGCATTCCCATATGATACGGCCGTATAACATAGATTTACGGCTGCAAAGACCTTTATTGGGCATTAAAAGGCATAAGGACTTTGGTATAAATCTAAATATATAAAAGGTCAACTATATTCTATTGCGCAATATTTTTATTTAATTTCAATAGGTTAAATTTCGCCTTAAAATGTAATAAACATATGTACTTCAATAGAATATAGTTGGCCTTTATTATAATATATACAAAATAAGAAAGATACCCATACTATACTATACTATACATATATACATTTTTTACTTTTTTTTTTTTTTTTATCTTACATTTTTATGCAACACATATATGTTATATATAAATTCGTATAACTCAAAGCACTTCATACATTGATAAACATTTTTGCTTGTTCACCAGACATACACCGATCTAACTGATCTTTATATAGTATATACAATACATATAGTATCAGCCCATTCTTCATTTGTCCGCCGTTTAACTGTCTGCTATTCTAAGCTCACCAGTTATGCCTTCCCATAACAGAGTTATTTTACAATATCCGATATATATCGATCAGTCTATAAGTCTACAAACATTTAAAGCCTAGACTTAAAACTTTCAAATAATTTGTTGTCACGTTAAATGTTTGAATATTTCTCAATCATCTTCAAGAAGTTCTACATATGGATAGACTCAAGTCATAAATATCTCATGAAATAGCTAAGCATGAAAAGGTTTTCCCAGCTGCAGTTAGACATGCGCTCGGCTACCGGAGTTACACTATATCCATAGAGTTAACAGGGCAGTGTCAGAAGCAGAGTCAGGGGAAGCAGCAGGAGCAGGAGCAGGAGCAGGAGCAGGGGATATTTGAGAGTGAACGCCTAATAATATTGTTCAATAATTGCCTCACAAAAGGCAGCTGTGTTTGCATATCTACGGGCGCAGTTTGTGTGTCGAGGGCTAGTCGAGGGCTAACCCTTGGCTGTGGCCATGCCACGCCCCATTGGGCAGACGCCTTCGGCTTTGCATGGAGTGCAGTTAGCTGGGATATGATGTGTCGATTCAGGTGCTTGAAATGCGAAGTGGCCGTGCGGTCGGAACCACCCCGTTGCCAGGCCTATGCCCAGGCCCAGGCCCAGAGCCGAGTCGAAACCCCCGACTGAACTGTGGCCCAAACATAATCTTGACTAATAGTTTGTATGCGCTTCACACTTGAGGATTAATTTTGTTATTTTTATTTTTCGCTTTTCGTTTTTTTATTCTTTTTTTTTTATTTTTCGTTTTGTTCATATGTCGCCGTCGCTGTCGCCGTTGCCCTTACCGTCCCCTGCCGCGTTGTTGTCGCGGACACAACACTGTTCAGTCATTCCTTTCGTATAAGCCTGGAAATTTATGGCACGCACTTCCGTTTCGTCCTTTTTCGCTTTTGCACGGCCTTTCCTTGTTTTATTATACCAATTTCATTTTTTTCCTTTTGTCTTTTCGTTGATATGGTGCTCAGCTACAAATTATAATTGTTGCCTGTTTGCTGTTTTTTTCTCTCTAATTTTTTTTTTTTTTTTTTTTTTTTTTGGAAATTTCACAGCTGTAAGTCGAGTCGTTTTGATTATATTAAGTTATTAATTTGTTGAGTTGTCATGGTGAGGACGAGTCTCGAGCTGGACGGGAGCGGGAACCGAGAGAGGGTCTGGGCCGGTTTAGACGGCCCTCCTCCTGCTCCTCCAAGTTCTGTTTAGTCAATTGTGACGGAATGCGCAATGCAAGCCAAACTTGAGATGGTCTTTAATGCGAGGATCGCACACAAAGGCTGAAGCCAAATGCCTCTGGCCAATAAATCAAGGCAATTGTATTGGCTATATCAAAAGTGGGCGTTGGGCAATAGCGGAAGATAGGGAGCCGGATGCAGGATGCGGCACACAGAAGTCAGGGGCAGGGCCAGGGCCAGGGGTAGGGGCAGCGGCGGCCATTAGGAGGCAGCGCTGTTTGAGGTTTGGCTTTTGTGTCGCATCCCATTGTCTCCCAGTTGCAGACCTTAATGTATTTTCATTAGCATTTGGTTATGTATTCTCTTCCTCTTCCTCTTCCAAGCTCCCTCTCTCGCTCGCACTCGCTGGCAGCACAGCACAAACAATGACAACAGCAAAAATAATAAAAGAATGAAAAGATCGCACACAAACAGTCATCGCAAAAGGCAACACTGCGAAGGTCAGAAGGCAGACGAGCAATTGCCCTAAAAGGTGTAACTCCGCAGGGTTGCCTCTGTCTCTGCCGCTGCCCCTGTCTCTGACTCTGCCTCTGCCTCTGCCTCTGGCTCTGTCTCTGCCGTCAGCCCAGTCAACCAGGTAGCATCCGATCGATCGAGCCTAGTCAATGGCCCGCTCCTTCTAATTGACGTTATTAGTTGTACCCTCTCCCTGCTCTCCGCTCTGCGGTGTTCGTGGTTCGAGTCAGGGTCGCTTGCATCTGCACTGCCACCCCTCATCCCTCATCCCTCCAACTCTCTAGCTGCAGCCTAATCCAATTGTACGACTCGTTGGCGGTTCTGCTCTTTACCCACTGCCAATTTCTGCCTGCTCATGTCCACTGGGTGTGTGCCTGCGTGTGTTTGGTGTGTGTGTGTGTGTTTGCATTAATTTTTCTAAATTGTTGACAAATTGACTCTACAACTAGACTGAGCAGAGTCGGGCGCTAGATAAATACAGACTGTGAGCCACAGCCCTAGTTGTTGCTTAGTCTGCTTTCAAATTTCTTGTTCAACATTTTTGCTGTTTCATATGTGGAAGATATCCTATATATATATAAATATAAATATATATATTCTTATGCATATATAAAGCAAACTTTAACTTTAGTTTTTGTCCTGGTAGTGCTCTTTAGATGTGTTTCTTAGTATGGATTGCTCATCTCTCATATTTTTGCCAATGAAATTTTAATTCAGCAGATTCGTTATTATGTAGCAAATAAATAATAGTTGATCTATGTTTTCCAGTCATTTTTTTATGCAGATAGTCGAGAATTAAAGTTAGTTTCAAATTTTGACAAGTCGTCGGAAGTTAATACAGTCCTGTCTCGATTATTTGAATTCCGCTAAATAGAAAATCGCGATAAATCGAAAAAAAAACTCCATCCTTTTGAATAAAATTCGTTCTCAATAATTCTCGATAATTTGAATTTTTGTGTAAGTCGAAAAAAACTGATTCCCTTGCCATTTCGAATGATCGGGACTCTACTGTACCTACTTATCTTTCGATATTGATTTTCTATATAAACTATATATATACGGGCAGCGTTCTGACTGATTTAAGTTAGCTGAAATCAAATTTCAATTTGAACAAGAATAAAAAGCTCCTAACATAAGAACTCGAATGAACTTTAACTTGAGTGACATTGAAAATATTCAACACTAACGTATTATATAAAGAAATAAAAAATAAAATAAATAAAATGATAAATAAATAAAGAATAAAATAAAAAGAAATATGGTCCAGTGAACTTTTTACTAATTTTAACATTTAATTTTGTAAAATATACGAATATAAATTATATTAGTAAGGCTGTTGTTATTACAATATATATGGGGAATATAAGCTCTTTTCCCAGTGTTTGTTATTTCTGATGCTCCTGATCATTATTATCATCATCAACCAGACATATCGATAGCATATTTAGGTGTCATATACATATATCATACGTCATCAGATGATCATGACGATCATAAATCAGTTTGCTTATGGTATATAGTATAATATAGTATTATCAACAACACTATTTCATTTCAATTGATATTGATATATTAACTAATTCACACTCTTGCCCCCCTGCTCGCTCTCTCTCTCATCAGGTACTCAACAGCCGGCCAGTCCGGATAGCACCTCACCAGTGACCTCCGAGGTCTCCTACACATACATTGGCTCCAATTGCCAGACCTCGCCCGCCCTCTCTGGCGACTACAAGAGCTACAGTCGCTCGGCGGACAGCGACGCGCTCTCTGTGGGCGATGCGCTGCATACGCTGCATGGCAGCGCTGCAGCCGGTGGCACATCAGCGGCGCATGCGTTACACAACAACAACAACAATAATAACAATAATAATAACAACAACAACAACAATGACAATAGTCTGAAGCACGATGGAGGCGCCGGCAGCGGCAGCAACCACGACGACAGTCTGAACGAGGACGGCATCGAGGAGGACATCGACGATGTGGACGACGCGGACGGCAGCGGCGGCGGCGGCGTCAATGCCGACGGCATGCCGAACAAGAAGCGCAAGCGACGCGTTCTATTCACCAAGGCGCAGACGTACGAGCTGGAGCGACGATTCCGGCAGCAGCGCTACCTGAGCGCGCCGGAGCGCGAGCACCTGGCCAGCTTGATACGGCTGACGCCGACGCAGGTGAAGATCTGGTTCCAGAACCATCGCTACAAGACCAAGCGGGCGCAGAACGAGAAGGGCTACGAGCACACGGGCATGATACATGGCAACGCCATCCATCCGCATCATCCGTCGGCGCTGCCCTCGCCCCGGCGCGTCGCTGTGCCCGTGCTGGTGCGCAACGGCAAGCCCTGCCTGGGCGATGGCTCCAAGCTGGCCCAGGACTGTGTCAGCACGGCGACGGCCATGCAGAATGCCGCCGCCCATCACCTGGTGGCGCTGAACGGCGCCGCTGCCTATCAGCATGCGGCTGCTGCCGCCGCTGCCGGCCTACACGCCCACGCCCACGCGCACGCCCATCCCCACGCGCAGCGAACCGCCTGGTGGTCCTAATATTGCTAGCTGCCTGGGTTCGAGTAGGTGGCCGACCTGGATGGCAGCGCCCAACTGACTCTGCCGACTCGAATACTGGACAATAAGCGCGAGCTGAGCTGCGTCGATCGGGCATTCGAACGAACAAAGAGACAAAAAACAACAACAACAACAAAAACAAACGGAAATTTGGTGCAATAATAAATAAAGAGCCGCGAGTGGTTGCCGTTGCCCATCGGCCATCAGCGAACCACCCAGACTAGTCTTGGCCAGTGCTCTACGCCAAGCCACGATTGTTGCTGCAGTGTTGCCAGTGACAACAACAACAACAACAACAACAGCAACAACAAACGCAACAGCAACAACAGATATCATTCGTGTAATAAACAAGAAGAAGAAGAGAAACATTTTTTTCCCTCAGCTCTAAAGCTGTGGGCCATTTAGTCGTAGTCATTTTTTTTTTACACAATTTTTTTTTTTTTTTTTGCACAAGAGTCGTTAATATGAATAGAAAGAAAAAAGAAAAAAAACAAAAAACAAAGAAACGTTAGTTAAAGTAAGCAATTTTTTTCGCCTAGCATTAGTTAAATGTAATAAATAATTTTATTCAAATAGAAAATATGCGCAAAATTAAACACAAAAAAAAAAAAATAAAAAAAACATTGTTTTGTAAATAAATAATATATATAACATATAAAATATAAACAAATTAAATATATATACATATATAAAATTCAACTAACGGGACAGCTAATAGTTATAATCGTGTATATATACATATATATATATATATATATATATATATATATATATATATATATATATATATATATATATATATATATATATATATATAATATATGTATTGCTACAATAATGAAGTAGTGTCCGATTCGTAGGCGTAATTCCATTTGTTTATAAAGAACACATAAACATAGAAGAGGTCCAGGCGAGATCCTAACTGTAACATATAATTCTAAAAATTCAAATATAATCAAATTTCTTTTTTTTTTTTTTTAGTGCATAAATAACTAAATAGAAGAAAAATGCAAACTCTTTGAATTTATAGCGCGTAACGAATTCATTAATGTTAACACAAACTTCATCAAACTTAACAAATGTATTTGTAATATAAACAGAAAATAAAAGAAAATTTCCAAAATATATATATATTCGTGTTTCTATATGAATTGCTTATAGAGTGCTTTATTTACATGCAGTCAAAATCTGAGTGAATATAAAAAAAAATATTCGAGATTAACATTGTTTATTTTTTAGCTGATGTATATGGAATTCGACGGCTATCTATTTAGATATTGTCCCCTACAATGTTAATTCAATGTAGTCGCTAGCAGAAATTTTCCATGATTTGTGATCTTATTCAGCTTCTCCTTTAATGCCATCATTATCTGCTCCATTGCAGCTGAGCATCGCCATTTCATAGGGAACAAGAAAAATCCAGAGTGGCGCAGATCTGAATATCTATTTTCAATCTATGAAAATCTGAAATTAGCATTAAACATAATTGAACATTTTTGCAAACAAAATTAAATACAAAATAATAATAATAATAATAATAATAATAATAATAATAATAATAATAAAATAAATAAAAAAATACAAAAATAAACAACAATAATTCGTAAACTGAGAAAAAAGGCTCAGCATATATACATAGATATATATATTTATATATGTTAAATGAAGAGCTGAGTCTGTACAAAAAAATAATGCAAGTACAGTCTCACCACACTTCAGGCAATATAAGAAAGCAATTTTAATAGAGTATGTAAAAAAAATATATAAATATTTTTGTTTTTAATCGTAGAAAATAAGAGTTCAAGTTTCGTGTTTTTATTTTTATTTTTTTATTTATTTATTTATTTTATTTTATTTATTTTTTTTTGTATTATTTTTTTATTTTTTTAATATTTTTTTTTTTGCGTTTTTTGCTATGCAGCAAATTTTGTCTATGAATGTATGCCTTGACTTCTTGAAAATAAATAAATAATACAAAATACATATATGATTTCCCCATGCTCACAACTGAGAGAAACGGGTAGACTCTGCAAAAAAGAGAAAATGTCTAAAGCCAGGGCTTGGAGTCTAGAGTCCAGAGGTTGGTATCGCTTCAACTATTCGTATTTAGAGCTATTGAGCTGACGAAATCGACCAGCCTCTCCTCGTCGCTGGGGCAGCCTACATCTCATATAGAACTGAGTCTTTACGATCAACTGAATAGTTAGGATATTAATATTGCTAGTCCCTCGTAAATAGCTCGAGTAATATAGTTAATTTAAGGTATAGCATCACTCCTGGTTGTTTATTCATTTTAATGGAGCTATTAACCAATCCATGGAAACCTTGATAGCTCTCTAAATGCGAGCTTAATGGCAATATAATATTTGATATGTGTAGTTAACATAGATGACATTACACTCATTTGCGACATGAACTCTTTGTTCAAGCCAAGAGCTGGCCAAAGTATACATATGTATATCGATGGTGGTAAGGAGTGTGTAAGGGTATTGCAGTGTCGACAAGCCATCGATAGTTATCAGATGGCAGCGGCAGCTGGTTAAAAAAAAAAATAATACAAAAAAAAGCATTAAGCAGCTCATAAATACGACTTGATTATGGCTTTTAGCTACCGTTCAGCTGTGTGGCCGGCAATTGGACTCGTAATCCATTAATGATTATACGAATATAGTACTACTGGCACTCATAGCCTGGACTTTGGTAATGATACCCAGCGCACTATGGGAAAAAAGTACGATATTTTGGCATTAATACAATTTTTTTGTTGTCTCAAACCGCTAAAGAAATATTTTTTTCCAATTCTAAATTCATTAGATAGAATCAAAATATTTTTGTTAAATTTTTGGGGACTACCCCTATTATTTGATAATTTTACAAAGTCAGCTGATTCAGCGCTGCATTGCAATGTGAAAAAGCGCGCCAAATAGATCGCAACTTTTTAGCTGTATAAAATTTATTTGTTAATCGCATAAATTAAAACTTAATATGCAAAAAGTTAATAAAGGTATATATAATAAGTGTCCGTAGTGATTTTGTATACTTCTGTGTTTTTGTGTAACTGTGCAATGTGTTGTTCATGTGTATTTTTAGCTTAATCCTAACAAATATGTTTGTGTTCTGTGGAGTATAACTTTAACAGTCCTCGCTAGGCCTCGGCAGTTTTAGCTGAGGGTAATTAACTAAACCATATACTATAAGGACCCATTAATAACTTTTGCCCGTTTTTGCCCCTTTTCCCGAAAATTGACATGTTGTAGTTGCGCTTGAGTTTAGACGCTCAGTGCTGCTGGAAATTTGGAGATGCAACAACCGCCAAAACGACGTTGTAATATCTTTTATTGCCAAATCTTTTAACAACAATGTGAACGAAGATCTTAAAAAAATTATCCAAAAAGAAGTCGAGGAATTTATTCACTATATAAAAAAATGTTTGTTGAAATGCAATAGAATGTTAGATCGATTTAAAGTTAAACATTAAACATGGTGAGCACGAGACGTCTCCAAATAAAGCTGGACGTAAATATTTAAATTATGAAAATGCAGGATGTCGTTTAAAAAGAAAGTTATCATCAGAGCTTGCGTCAAAGGAAAATTACGAAACTCCACTCTTAATGAAGCCAGAAATAAAATATACAAGAATGACAGAAGATCTCATGCAAGAAAATGCAGCAGATTGAATAACATAACTGATGTTTTCAACAGAGCATTAGACTCGTCGGATCCTCTATTATCAAGCCTCTGCCTAAATGAACGCCAAAAATTAAATAAAAAAAGGAATATTCCGAATGAAGTCGTTGCACTATTTGAATCTCTCGATCATATTTTGAAAAATCATGAAGGTGATTCAAGTGACGAATGGACAGAAGACGAGGATATTGCATTTGATATTAAATTAGAAGAAGAATGTGACTAATTTTAGTTCAACAATATGAAAATATGAAAAGAACTGTCAAATTCATACTAACGGCAAAAAAATATCAAGGAAAAAAATTATAGGGGTCAAATCAGGGTCAAATTGAAAAAACCAAAAAAATCCGAAATTAAATTAAAGTCTGACGAGCATCCACAAAAAATTTCATATCTCTAGCTCATTATTTGGAATTAATGCCAAAAAAATGGGATTTTTTCCCATAGTGCAGCGATAAGCTGGGCCCGGCCATAGGCAATGCATTCAATACGAATGTATGACATGGCATGGCCTGGGCTGGTATGGCATGGCATGGCGTGGCCCCATAATTGCCCGGTTACAACATATTGACTTTATGGCAGGGCCATCAATAGCCGATTTAGTGGGTGGCGGGCAATAAGCAGTCGCCCAGTGGTAGTTGTTGGTGTTGATGTAGTTGTGGAATACGCCACTCAATTGTCAACTGACTGTGAGCCATACAAAATGCAAGTGGATCGCGAATCGAAAGTCACATTGGGAATAACTCTTTCTCCCCTCTCTCTCACTCCCACTCCCACTCGCTCACTACATGGGAGGGCACATAAAGAACTCGAACTCAAGTAGATGTTTTTGAGTATCTCATAAAATAAACAAGTGCTACGGCAATTTAAATTACTCATCAATGAGCGCGACAAAGCACTCGAATCCGAGCTACGGCATTGCATACATACCTAGGCATTATGAGTATGTATATAGATATATATATATATGTATATACGGACAGCATTAGCAAGTAAAAAGTTGCAGTCGGGCGTAACCAGTTTCCGAATACTCATGCACGGCTCAAGTGCTGTCAGTTCTAGTTTGACACGCCTCCAAGTTATATACATACATTTGATTATGGGCTGATGAGGAAAATCTTCACACTTTACAATTCGATACAAAGCTCATACGGACAGACAGCGACGGGCATTGCACCAAACCTATATACCCATTTCACTGTTGTGAATGCGTATAATAAACAGCGAGTGCTTGGTCATATATTATGCTAAACAACAACAACAACGAAAGTATTTTTACACAGCCCATAAACTGAACGATTACTGAAGTGCCATAAATATTAATATATATTTTTATGATTTCTTTACTTCAATTTTGTTGTTGATGGTTTATTTTTTTTTTTAGATTTATCAACAAGCAGCAGGAAATTTAAATGTTGATATTTATAATTTATTTAAATTTACAATTTATTTAAATATACCAAAACTTCACACATTTACATTTATCACATGGCTCACTATATTTAATGAAAGAACTAATTGAAATTAAAACTATGTTTCGATATGATAAATATTTAATTAAGGCAATATTAATATCTTTCAGGAAGATAAGCAGAAATTGAATGTGTTGCCCCCTCACACAGGCGTAGTACTACTACTATATATAAGTATTTATCTTGGAATTGTTTCTATTCTCAGCTCCGAGTGGCCCCATACCAACTCTCGTAATTGGTCTATAAATTTCGATTGCTCGAAATCGCGATTTTCACAATTTCCTCCGCTCCCGTTCCCGGGCCATTGAATTTATTTGCATAAAGTTTTGTTTTTAGATTTTAGTTTTTATTTGTTTTTGTTCTTTTTTTTTTTTTTTTTTTTTTTGGCTTGGGGCTATCGCACAGGATGTTGATTAAACGGAGCTCGCATATCAGTTTCACATTGCAAAGATCTAGATTAGACGTAATAGCTGCTCCAAGACTGATATTGCCTGCCAGCGGCTATGCGAGTTAACACAATAATAAACCTTTTGTTATTATTAATATTATTATTCTTGTTGTTGTTGTTGTTGCATTATTGTTGCTCGCTTTGCTTTCCAGATAAGCCCTGCTCCCAGAAGGTGCAAACTGGTTGTCACACGGTGTCAAACTGATTGTGCGAGTGTGCGAATGCGTGTGTTTGTGTGTGTGTGTGTGTGTGTGTGTGTGTGTGGTCGGCCATATCAGCAATATGCCTTGCACGGCTGGACAAGGTGGCCAGCGATCGCGTCACACACAAACTACGTACATACATATATACACACACATACATACATATATTTGGTGGGCTGGCGTGGACATGTCAAGTACAAACGTGTGAGCTTATCGAGCCGCTGGCCCGAGCGCTTGATGGATGCGGAGATGTGGAAACACAGTCAAGATACTGAGTGCACCAGCCAGCTAAGAGATATGTGAAGATTTCTAGAACGAACTTGCCAAGCATTATATATATTATATTATTATAATATAGTCAGTATATATATTAATGGGATTGAACAAGATTATATGGATATAGGAAAGACTAAGAGCATATGGATCAGGCTAAATTTCTGTAACTCATGTCGTGCTCTTCTGCTTGCTGCTTCATATCTATTTTATACTGATTATCTACAAATAGCAATGTAAACTGATGGTATGCGACTCAACCTTTTTTTTTCAGTTTATATACAAATTAAAAAATATTCTTAAAATTTACATAATAATTTGATAATTTTATATCCCATATTTAATGAAATAGAAATTTTTGTTATTTTTTTTTTTTTTTTTTACAATTTTCAGATTACGTCATTTGCTCAGATTGTAACTGTTCTATTTATCCAAATAGCATTCTCTGCCTTTGGCTGTCATTTAGGCAATATTAATTACCTAAAAATAAATATAAATCACAAATAAATATTAAAAAAGTATCGAAATAGTATTTATTGAGTGAATATAAATAATTTTAAAATTATATATTCTTTATATATAATTATTTTTTTTTTTTAATAAAAGCAGATGTAATACAATTTTGAATATCTATAAGTAATAATAAATACAAATTTTAAAATATAAAGAGATGAGGTTAAATTCAGAATGACTTATAATAATAATAATAATAATAATAATAATAATGAATATATAAAGAAGTCCAAATTAGTTTAAAATAAAATATTAATTATTAAAATTCAAAAATAGGTAAATTAATAAATAAATATGTTTACAACAATAGTTAAAACTTATGTAATTAGTTAATAAAAATATTTAAATATTTTCAGTTTCCTTAAGTATCCCCAAAGGCCTCTCAATAGGCTCCCAGTTTGTATGCCTCCCTAGCAACGTTTTTGATGAATTCCATGTCCTCAATTCAAGTTGGCAAATACTTGGCGAAACGTTGTAATTGGGTAATGGGCACAAGGTAAGCTTAGCGCAGGGATACTATGGCCACAATGAGAACAAGCGCAAAAAAACAACAACAACAACAATAACAACAACAACAACAACAACAACAACAACATGAAGAAGAATAACTGTAACAATATCACTTCAACTTCAGATAAACTGGGCAAAGCGAAGCACTTGTCAACATGTCCCAAGAACAAGGAGTACGTGGAATTCCATGTGAGTCGAGTCGTCGAACGCCACTTACAACGCTTAATCAGCACCGATTTCAGTCGATATATAATGCCTGTTGTTGTTCTTGTTGTATTTGCTTGGTTGTTCAATTTTGGCATTGATAAAGCTGGCAGACAGTGCCAGACAACGACAACAACAACAACAGCAACGACAAAGACAACGACAACAACAACGACGACGACGACGACGACGACGACGACGACGGCGACGAGAATGAGAATGAGAACGAGAACGACATTGATTCGATTGTGGACAGTTTGTAAAGAAAAAAGTTGATTAACGCCATATAAAGTGTTGTATATACATATATATATATTAATATAAATATATATGTGTATAGATTTGGTCGATCGAATAAATAAATTTATCACAAAATAAACGTAAATCAGTGAACAGAAATGTAGAAATTAAACAGGCCAAGTAAAGACCGTTAAGCAAATAAATGAGATTACAATTAATAAAATAATCGATAAGTGTCCATAGCTGTTGTTGGACTATGCATGTATATACATACATATAAATATATATGGAAAAAAAAAATTAATATACATACTGCCATAACCGTAGCTCGATTCCTGCTATTTTCTTTTTGATTGTAGGCCAAAAGCTAATTGCGTTTTTGATTTAACGACGTGCAGTTGGCGAATTGTCAGGCACTTGAGCTGTTGCTCCCCTCCTCCTTTCCCTTTCCATCCCCCTCCCCCACCGCCTTCACTAGCTACACAGTTTTCCCTCGTACACCGCAGCGATCGCTTAGCCATTTGGCCTTCCATATCTTTGCTCGCCTCCAAGTGGGCGTCAACCATTTCACTCGAGTTCTCTCTGGGTGTGTGTGTGTGTGCGAGTTCTCAATTCGATTTTTGCTTGCTTCGCCCATTCGGCGTGTGGGCGTGGCGTTTAGATAAGCACTCCGTGCACTCGCCTCCCATTGGCCACAGCAGCTCCAATCGTATATATCAAATAGCATAAATGCTTTTTGTTGTTCCTTTTTCTATTGAATGAATGAAACAATTGAAGAGAACTCAATTGCATTAACCAAATTATGTGTAATTATTTACATATTTCGATGGGGTATATATTTAAATGCTTTCTATGAACTATGAAATTTTATCAATATGATTTTCCATTCCATGAGTTCGTTGGGACTTGTATGAGAGGCTGCAGACTCGATCGGATCTATGGGGAATGCACGTATCATAGACATACGTGAGCCAGAGACTTGAATGGAAAATGTTGCTTTGGCATTTAATATGGTATATGTATATTCTCTGGTAAACATTTTATGTACAGTCGAGTCCCGACAATTCAAAATGACAGGAGGATAATTTTTATTTATTTATTTATTTTTTTCGATTTACACAGAAATTCAAA